GCACATAGTTATACCGGGCCCTGTTCCATCTGCACCACACCCCCTCCACAAACACACACACCCACACACACACACGCATGCACGTGCTTTCCTTAGGAACTCCGAAGCAGCTGTTCCCTCTGCACGGAATACTCTTGGCCCAGATGTCATTAGGCATTTTCCCCCGTACCTCCTCAAATGTTACCCTCTCAGGGAGGACCACCCCGAACCTTCTCAATACCCCCTACCCCATCTACGTTTTCTCTGTGGCTCGTGTCTCCCCATAGCATCCTATACAATGTGCTTATTAATTACATTGTCTGTGTCCGTCCCCCCAACCCGAAGCCTGCCCACCCATCACCTCACCCAGCACGTAAATTCCACAAGGGTGGGGATTTTCCTCCAGTGTATTCGATGGTACCTCCTAAGAGGCCAGAGACGGCGCCTGGAACATGGAAGGCGCTTGCTGAATATTTGCAGAATGAGGAACGGAAGAGCGGCAGCTCACAGTGGACAACCTGGTGGATAATCTGCCGTGGTCTCTCGATCTCCCTCGGGCGCGCTCCTTAGGGACCGGCGGAAGCCCGCAGGTCTGCAGCGGCCCCAGAGCAGGCCGTGCCCCTCCCGCGGCCCTCTCCACCACTGGGGGTTGCACTTGCCTCCTCCGCTCCTAATTTTTAAAATGATTTCTTAGGGCTGGGCCTTCCTGCTTTCTGCTTTTCACCCCAAAGCTGCACACTCTCTCCTAAGCCGTGTCTGTTGTCCTTTTCCAGAGCATCCCTTGTTTACAGCGTGATGACCGAAGACGCTAAGCGGCGTTTCTGGAAGGAGAGCCCCAGCCAGGAGCGTGGCGGCCCAGCGCCTTGTCAGACTTGGCGTCCCCTAGTGAGCAGGGCCACACCCCGCCGCCGCGTCCGACCGCCGCTGTGAGCTGCATGCTGATGCCCGGCCGCGCGGGCTAATCGCGGCCGCGTTTGCAAGGGAGCCTTGCCATTTCGTGGGAGTGAATTAGTTAGCACTTCATTGTTTTTTCCGGTTGAATTTAATTCCTCGTCGTGTTTCCTAATTAGGAAGGTTTACGGGATTCATTTTGATGTTTTGAAAAAAAAATTCCTTCCCGGGAGTGCTCATCTCGGCTTCAGCAAACGTTTCATCCCCTCGTCCCGCTCTCGATCCCTGCCGGGCTGCCAGCGCGTCAGACCCCAGCGGCAGGGCTGAGTGTGGGCTGCCGCATTGTTGGCTCCTGTTCAGACTGAGGCTGGGTCTCTACATCCAGGGCCGCTGGGTACAGATGCAGCTTTTTCAGCCTCACTCCTGGACCCTCTCGTGGTCCCTGGCTCCCCCTCTGCGCCTCTTCCGGTCTCCCGCCGCCCCTTTCTGTCCAGTCCAGCCCGTGTCCCATATGCACGCCTAGTGCCCCCTCCCCGTTTCTGGCTGTACATGTGGCCTTTAAAAGCAAAAACAATTACGAAAAGAACATTCAAACAATAGTTAACCCTATATCCTGCACCCACCACGTGCTTGGTTCTCCTTTCTCTTTCTGTTGTCTTAGGGGATATTGTTTATTTTCTCTACAAATTTACCTGGCCACCCTCTTCCTTCCCCTACTGTCTTCTCCATGGATTATTTTCTTGTGTTCCAGAGGTGAGAGAGGTCTCCTCTGCTCCTCTTTTCCCCCTCCCCTCTCCTTTCCCCTGGGGCATGTCCTCCCTCCTCCCTTGGCATTCAGAGAGCTGCCATCACTCAGGATCCCTGGGCTGGGTTTAGCATCTGGCTTAAGACATCTCCACCCAGAACCCACGTAGAAAACGTGAAGGATAAAGGAAAATGTTTTCTGTTTGTCTGG